ATATATATTAGGGTGTGCCAAAAAAACTCGATATTTTTTTTTCTTGCTCTCCACCCAAAATATCGTAGAATATGTCCGAACAAATATTCTATTAAAAGCGGAGCTCATAATTTCAATTTTAAGAGGTCCCTCATCGAATCTGAAGTTTTGCCGCTTAAATAACACAGAAAACTGACTTTTTTACCTTATTTATTCTTGCAACCTAGGAAGAAATTTTTTTTTCATAAAATGCATGACTAATTCTTACAAAGCATTAAATTTGGACAAAAAAATCTTATTAAGCCGAATTTCTATTTTCATTATTTGATTTTTTACAGAGCTTTAAATTTAAAGTTAATAATACAAAAATGATGAATTTATACGCCTTTAACTTTTATAATATTGACGATACAAAAAATTCGCCTAAAACTTTTTTGTGCTCCATCAGACAAGCTAAAAAATTGCCATTTGACTTTTTCGTCTAACTTCAATAGTTTAGCTGAAAAAGGCAAAAAACGTAAAATTTTAAATTTAAAGCTCTGTAAAAAATCAAATAATGAAAATAGAAATTCGGCTTAATAAGATTTTTTCGTCCAAATTTAATGCTTTGTAAGATTTGGTCATGGATTTTATGAAAAAAAATTTTCTTCCTAGGTTGCAAGAATAAATAAGGTAAAAAAGTCAGTTTTCTGTGTTATTTAAGCGGCAAAACTTCAGATTCGATGAGGGACCTCTTAAAATTGAAATTATAATTGCGTTATGAGCTCATGTCGTGATCCAGAAAATCATACGTGCTGTCGTCCTGATCTCACAGTGAAATCATACATGTTGTCTGGGCCCAGACAACATCCATGATTATCATACAAGAGTCACGTCGTGATTATCACGAGTTTAACTCAACTGAGGTCCTGATGAGCTCACGTGTGAGAAATAAAAATCATCTCGTGATTTTTGCTGAGATCCGTTACATTTGAATTTTCGCGCATGCGCGATTTGATGAGCTCCGCTTTTAACAGAATATTTGTTTAGACATATTCTACGATATTTTGGGTGGAGAGCAAGAAAAAAAAAATATCGAGTTTTTTTGGCACACCCTAATATATATATATATATATATATATCTATCTTTCATTATATTTATATTATTTAATTTAGGTATATAGTTATTCAAATTTTTAAAAAATTATAAATTTTGCATCAAGTTTTGCTTTTAAAGCCAACCACGTCATTTAAATCATATGGACGTATTAACTCTAATATGTCTATAATTTAAATAGACAGATAAACAATACATTGGCAAATAAGATTAATACACTGATGTAAACACTTAAATTCACCTTCGTTTTGTTTAGACTCTTCGTGCTGTTGAGGTTAACAATTATGAGTTTTTAACCGCGACACATTCAAATCGACCGCGCGAAACTCTCAAACCCATACGCTGTCAAACTGCGCAGATTTCATTTTGGTTTGAGATTAAAAAGATTCGAGGCCCTCGAATCGAGGGCCAATCACAGAACGTCTCTCGCACCAGAACGGCGTCATTTGGGATTTAACAGGTTTAAGAGCAGTGAGTGTGAGTAGTGAGTGTGTTAAATAAAGCGTAGGTAAGCTACAATTACTTTTTCTATCATTTAAGTTAACTAAGCGGGTTGTAAATATATTTTTACCAAGTTTAGTAAGGTAGATTTGGTAGGTATTACCTTAAAGGTATTATTTATTTACTATTATTTACGAGAACGCTGTGTATAGGAGCATGGCGGGGTGGTGGCTTCAGTCTAACAATCATGGTATAGCGAACTTTTGGTTAAAACGAACCAACTCAAATAATAGTATCTACGAACCTAGTCCTAGTCACAATCCACACAACAAGTTCTGTTCTTTAGCAGTTCGCGCAGACTGAAAATCACAAAATACTTGCCGCCATATTGTTTGTTTACTTTTTAAGCGGGTAGATTTTGATTTGGTTTAATTTTGTGCCTAATTTGCCTTAATACAGACTTATAAACGTTGTTAGGTGTTTGAACCAGTTATTTTGTTGTTTATTTGTGTTTTGACTGTACTAGTGTACCTTTTTGAACCTCAATTGTGCAAATCTTGTGTTTAACCAGTAAGTAGGTAAATTCTAATTCTAAAATATTAGGACGTTTTTTATAACTCTTGGTATAAAAAGTAAAAAAAAGGGCAAGTAAAAACGTTAAAAAACTTTAAATTAACTGGTAAAATACATAAATACCTATATATTTTTAATTTTGACAGATTAGAGGTTATAATTTGTTTCTATAATAAACCATAGAACCTATGAACAAACAAACTATAATATAATAATAATAATATAATAACTATAATTTCGGGGAATTTAAACTACGATAACGGTCGGTATCAAACTTCTATTTCGGGATTTTAAAATACCCGCGACAAGATGGCGGCAAGTGTTTAATGACGTAGGTGCGCACAACTGCACCGATTTTGGTTTAAATTTTTAAGCTAAAGAACAGACCTTGTTGTGTGGATTGTGGTCCTAGTTAGTTAATTTTTTCGCAAATAACAAACAGCGCTTAAAGCGTGCCATCGTTCATGATAAAATTTATTAACAATATACTTCATTAATGTTAGAACCAATCAAATGCCAGTATTCCATAGTAACGCATTTTATCACAGCGACAATATTTTTTATCATCTTGTTTACACGTTACTAAGGATTTTGACACTTCTTGATTTGTTGACATTTAAATCCTGTGTTTGTTATATGATAAAAATAATGAATTATAAACTCTAAAAGATCGATGGGTTGGGGTAAACGATAATGAAATTTAGGTATGTTTGAATAAATAAATGTCAAACTGACAATTCTTTAAATCCTAAAATTCATTATATTTTCTCACTAAATATAACTCGTGGTATGATTAATAATCGATGATATTTACTCATTAAAACCTCGGTTTCAATTCGAAAATATCATGAATGATAATCATACCACTTGTTAAATTATGGGTGATAATATCGGATAATATTCCTAATTAATAGACCAGACTCATAGCCCAGAATTTGTATTTATCTTTAAGGTTAGGGAGAAGAGGTAATTACCATTATTATTAGCATAATAAAAAACTAGGAAATAGTTCATAAGTTGACAACGCGAATATCCTAATACATATGCGCTTTTTCGTTGGTACCTTTTTATTCATCACAATTTCTTTGTTACACAGGCAGTAAAGAAAAATTTCAATCTGGTAGGGTCCGTGATGGACTGGTTCCGCCATGGCAAACAGCGAATTGCGAGAGAAAGAAAATGAATATGATATGGATATAAATAAAATATTTGATTTATATTTGCATGTTATTTGAAATAAATTTTTTTTTCACATCTGTGTATTTATTCAAACATCGCTGCGATTTTATCCTAGAACATTAAATGTATGTTGTTGATGCACACATCATGATGATGTTTTAAACTAACGTTAAATTAACTAAACTAAACTAATGTTATATAAACATCGCATTTGTGAAGTTAATATGCTAACGTTAAATTAACTAAACACTTAACGTTATATAAACATCGTATTTGTGACGTTAACATGCTAACGTTACTGGCGCGGTCATTTTCCGTTCTCGCGACATTAATAGAACGTTAATGTTACAAGAATGCTAACGTCACAATGTAATATGCTGACGTCGCAATAATGTTAATGTGACAAAGTTTTGCTTAGTGGGTGTAGGTCTAATGCAAAAATGATCACAATTTATTAGATGACACCCTGTATAAAAATAAAGAATATTTGTGTTAATTAAGAACATCTGCTCTTGTTGAAACTTGTTATTTAAAAATACGTATTTAAGGAAAATTAAATGAAAGTTTAAGCGTATCAAAGGTAATAAATAAAGCAGATAATATTAAAACGCGTTCTTAGGGATTCTGTAACATTAACTAAAAAGTCTTTTAAATATTATCGTGATATTTACAAGAGTTATTTTCGAAGGTATTTCAACTTATTTAGATTACCTATTTATATTGATTAGTGGCTTAGATTGTTTTCGGCTTTTTGTATTTTTTTCTTCTTTTCATTCGTTTGGACTGGCGACAGGCATTTGTCACGCGATAAAAGTCAGACGAAGAAATTAGTTTTGTGCTTGGCTTAAGCTAACCCGAATTTGTTCATCTAGAGTTTTAACTGATTTTGTAGCTTTTTATACTATTGAACGCTTTAAAAATAAAATACCTTGGTACATACCTGTATTTATATAAATAATTAATTAAAAAAACAACTATTATAATTAATATTTAAATGTAGATACATAGATTATTAATTAAAAACCTGTAGGTACCTACAGGTTTTGAATTGATACACTAAAAAGAACCCCTTGTAGGCACATTGAAAAGCAGTAACTTTTGAAAAAAGTATAGTACCTCAAAAAATCGTCCATTCGATTAGGTTTGATTACCGTAAGGTTTGGGATCGATTACTTTTAAAATTGGGCTATAATAAAAAAAACAAAAAAGTGATTTTGAAAGCAACGCTCAACTTTGCACACTGCGCATAGCAAAAGGGCACATCATATAGGTGCGCAATGGTATTTAACGTGTGCCTTATTTAGTACATAATCAAAAGTATTAGAGGTCAAATTCTGAAAAAATTCACGGTTAGCGAGTTATGAGCCAAAAAGCAAAAAAACTCCCCTTTCGGGGATGAAATTAGGGGACGCATAAAAAGAAATAAAACCCTACTATCATCACAACCTTTGTTTCCTGGTCTAAAGCTGTTTTTGAGAGGTAATATTTAAAAAATAATGAAAGAAATAAGTTAGGTAGCATTTTGTTTTGAAATAAAATTATAAAACCGTTAAAAAAACAAGTAACATCGACGACATCTATTTTACAGTAGCAGAACTATATAAATCACTAACAGTTTTCTTCGATACCTTCGAAACATTATTACAGGGACCTTTAATATATTTTTTCCGTCATTCTGACGTTAATTCGAGAAAACCTAGGTGGCGCCACAGTTTTTCTGTCAAAATTAATCAGTGTACGTGAGTCATTTTGTGTAGCAGACGTTAAGTGGTGTCAAACGCATTATTTATCAAAATACAGTTTGGTTTGGAGGTTTAATAACTTTTAAACTGAGCGAATATTAGTTAGAAATGATCGAAAAAGTGTCATGACAGGAGAAATGCGAAATAAAACGGACACGGTGTTAAAAGTGTAACGCAACATGGTTTCGTAGTGTTTGTTCTAATTTTTAAGTACAAGAGTTTAAAACTAATAAATAATAAAATAATATGTGTGATTTTACCTACAAGTGATAATTGTGTTCGTTTTTTTTACGATGGATTCCATACGAAAATGGTTTTACAAGCCCAAGGTAAAGTACTTAAGTATATGTGTAATTGATCTAATTACCGAAAAATGTTGAAAACAATACATCTCTCACCGAATCCTAATTAATATTTTTTATTTTTAATTGTTGAAAATTCTCTTTAAAATATCTTATACTAAATATAAAGGTCTAAATGTCAACTAGGTATTTATCTTTAAAAAAATTCAACTTCATAAGCTATAGCTGGATTTTACTGCCTTAAATTTTATCTTAAGTCATGTTATACATGCATAAAGAGCATATATTATCTATGATAAAGAGTGTGTTGAAATTTTGACAGTTTTGCCAACATTATAGGACATCATAAAAAAAATGTAGAACTGCCGAATTTATTAATTTGACCAATTTTTGTTAACTTGACTGGAAAGTGGCCCAATTTTAATATTAAATTTTACAGTGTTTCGCTTTCTATTCCTCGTGACGTCAATAACATTAAAAATTTACCTCATATGCACAGATTTCCTATTAGTATTTATTTATAGCGATTTAAAGTTTTATCATTTGTCGAAATGCCTAGCTACGTTTTTTAAAAACAAACAAACAAAAAAAATAAATAAATAAAATTAACAACTTAAATGTCACTTAACACGTGGTTAATTAATATAAACAAAGCTAATTTTTTTTTCGTTATTCGATATATTTTGAGGTCATAGTTTTTATTTATTACTTTGTTATTATTATCTTTAATTTTATTTTTGGGAGACTAATAACATTAATGTTATTTTGTTTATTTATTACTTTTTATTTATATACTTACATGGTCTGCAAGGTAGGTATTTGAAATAGGCCGAAATCTAGAATCAAATTTTAACATTTGGTTATTTTCTATGGGCCTAAATGTGGTCTATTGCTAGGGTTCAAAGACCATCTGCATCTGCCACTGCACCTTTTAAAAATGCACCCCACTGAACAATATGCTCCAAATTGATATGACAATAACAGATTTTTTTCAATGGGTTTTATATATGTTTCAAAAGATAAATTAAATTATATTTTGTTCTAGTTTTGGGGGTGGAAATTTTTAAGAAGGTTCTTTAGTAAAGTTTTGACCGTATTATAAAGTATTTAGGTATGACATTTAAAAAAAAGTCATAATTTTGACATACCTACTTAATTGGACAGAATTTTAGGAGATTTTAGGGCAGTTTTTAGGGCATTATTAAACAGTTAAGAAAAATTTCGAGAAAAATTAATTGTTTCACAATTTTAAAATAAAATAGGTAGCCTATGCATTATCAAGAACTTTTCGCTTAAAACTTTAAAAATTTAAAAAATATTTTATAATTAGTCACTGTTAATTAAAGTGATCAGATTCTGTCAAAAAATAGGGGGACATTTTGTGTAAATTACAAAAATGACACAATCAATAATAATTAAGTAAGGCCAAATTGACTATTTGCATTGTATTATTGTGTCAATTTTGTAATTAAGGTAAATTCATAGAATCTGGTCACTTTACTTTTTCAATGTTAATTTTTGCTAGTTTTTGGAATTGGCAATTTAAAAAACGAAAAATTTTAAATAAATATTTATGTACCTACCTACTTTATGATAAATTATCAGGATGACCTTAACATTTGTTTAAGTTTTATCTAAATACTAACTCAACAATGCATAATTTATTATATTAATTACTTATATTATGCATTAAATTAATTCTAAGGAAAACCAAATTTTTTATGTTTCTAATAATGTATTTATGTTGGAATACACAATAGCTAATAATTATAAATGTAATTTTTCTGGAAGCGTTAAATAAAATCGGTATTAATACGTATATGCATATAGGTACATGTACCTACATACCTAATTGGGTAGGTACTTAGGTATTAATATGTTTTAAATTTAACATTTTAATGATGACAAACCATATGTAGTAACAAATTAATTTTAAATGATTGGTTTAATTTTTTGATTATATTTTTATTTCTTTACAAAGCAATAATACTATTATTATAATAACTTATTGTTAATATAACTAATATTTTTAAAAAATGATTCACTACAATGTTTTTCAATTTTTAATAGCTAAATAGACTAATCTTACTTAACTTTGCTTTAGTGAGTAATAGCACAAACTAAACGTGATTAAATTCATTACTTACTCACTAATTCGATAATTATCTGATAACTCAACGTCTATTCCTTACAAATTGATGCTACGTGCTCTTTCGACATTATTTATCCTAGAGCAACAACTATTTTATCTGGCAGATAAAAGACAAACACAAAGTGCTTAATTTATTATAAACTACGTATGCTTCTTACTGAAAAGTACACAATACTTAATATTAGTAATATTTATACAGGGGGTGTTTAACAATGTCACAATATCGTATTGTCAATATGTTCAAGGAGGGGGAAAGGGTTTGATGAGGGGTTTTGGAGATAATTTACGACACGTAGTTTATGGACGGCCCTATATGCACTTATAATTAAACTAATGCAATTTTTTATGGTAATTATAAAGAGGAAACAATTTCACTTGAAAAGGTATTAATTACATTAAATTAATAGGTACCTAAAATGGAAATAAAGCGCTTTCAATGTATTTTTTGTGCCAATATCAATGACCTTAATAAATAAAATGTTAAAATATGCAACATTGTCTAAAAATTGAGAATAAAATAAAAATATATACATATTGGGTTGACAATAGGATAAAACTGAGGAAAAAATCATGCGTTTTACGAAGATAAAATCATTCTTTATAAACATGATTTAAGAGAGAGGGCCTTTATTTAATATTCTGTAGTTGTTAAAAATTCAGTCTAAATACGAATTAAAAAAAAGTTTATTTAAAAAATTACTTTTAGCATATATCTATATTAAAAGTGTTAACATGTGTGCTGTCTTAAGTGTCAAGCCAGAATGACTCTGCGGCAGTGAAAGGAATTCAAAAAAAATAATATTTTTTTTCACATAAGTAACTTTTCCAAAATTGGACACAAAACCAAACCAAATCGGCGGATCCCCGCATAATCTGAAATATGAAAATATTAAATTTTTAAAATTGACCGGGGGCCCCATTTAGCTTGTTTTTTTTTAAATCCGTTTAAATCTCGTTTAAATCAAATAGGTAACTGAATTTTTTTAAATTTAATTAGAATATTACAATTTTTATATTTAAGATGGTTTGGGGCAGTGGAAGGAATTAAAAAAAACTTAAAAAATTTCACCAAAATGTTTATTTCTTCCATACACAACTTCTATAGGTATGGGTCATTATACTTTTTAGCCCCATCTACCTCTAAAAAATAAATATTTCACATTTTCATATTCATTGGCAAATTTAAGGTAATTCTAAGGTTACTCTCAGCAGTAAAATTTAACTTAAAGTCTCTTATGTTTATGTTTAATGTCGTAGCGATAGCAGTGCAGTGTGACAAAAGAGACATGTGATGAAGGAGACATATTTCACTTTAAAAATCCAAGTAACGCAATAAATGCCCATAAAACATTGCATTAATTAAGAAGAAAGAAATTGGTTTACTTAACATAAAAAAGAGAATTAAATGCTGCAAATACTTACCGAGTAAATGCCGATAACCTTAAAAAACATACGCTGCTTGTTTGTAAAGCGCAAAATAACAATAGGGATAGGTAGGTACCTGCAGCGGGCCATCTCGTGCCTCAGTTATAAACTACTTGGGTTACAGAGTTCTTTTATATGTAATTCTAAACTCCAGTGTATTTTATAGCAAAGCTGCTTTTATTTAGGGTTTTAAAATTTTCGGAAAAATTGAGCCGGCGGAAAAAAACTTTTTTTTTTTTCGGATAAAAACGGAAAAATTGGGAAATTTTCAGAAAAATTTACTTTTTAATTTTTTAAATTGTATTCAAAGGGTAATACGAAAAAATTAAAAAATCAATTTTTCTGAAAATTTTCAAATTTTTACGGATAGTATCCGTACACTGATATTTCTGAATTTCCGACGCTGATTATAATCATATAATATTATGATTATAATAATTATTTTATTTTAATTCAGTAAGAATATTTTACCGGGCCGCAAAAAAACATATTCGGTGCTGTATTAACATAACTTTTATTTAACACTTCGATTTATAAAATTTTGTAATTTAATTTCATAAATGATTCATTATTTTGTAGTTAGATATTTTTAATTAATGGACTCCTTTTTAAACAAGAAAACCCAACAGTATATTTTACGTTTTTTACGTTTATTTTCTTAAACTTAACTTAATGTTTAGGTTTTTTTTGTAATAAAGGATTTTTTTTATTTATAATATGATTAAGTTGTTGATTGCTACTTTTTTCAAATGTGTATATTTTCCGAGATATTTTCCGAAAAAAAAATTAAATTTTTCCCAAAAAAGCCAATTTTTCCAAGGCCTGGGAAAAAACGGGAAAAAACGGGAAAAAACCGGTTTTTTCCCCAATTTTTCGGTTTTTTTCCAACACTTTAAAACCCTAGACCAGGTAGAAATTAAATATAAATACAAGGTTTGGTCCCGCTTAAAAAATATTCACAGACTATTTTATCACATTCTTCGTTGGTACTGAGGAGCTACTTATTTGTTATTTCATTTTAGTTTTAGAATTCTGTTTCATACAAAACCTATGAAATATATGAGTAATTCTTTTATAAACCGAACACCTTTTGACCGACACATCTCAGATTTGGCTGAAACTTTTTTTACGGATTCTATGTCGAAAAATAAGAGATATGTGTCCGAGGAATTTTTTTTCTCTCGCATATTTTCGATAATACAAGCTATCGAAAATTTGAGAATAACGAGTTTTTTGGCTTGGAGACTCATTTTCAAAAATTTATAACTGGTTATATTTGAGCTACAAACTTCTTTTTTTTTCATTTTAAAGCTAAAGGACTGAATTTTGATAAAAAAATATTTTTAATAAATATTATTAACAAATTCATATTGTTATTAATAATTTCATTGTTTAAATCAATTTTTAACAATGGCCCCCACCTCGTATTAAGTTTTTAGTATTTTTATCGTATTCTCCGTCAAATTTTACATAAAAAACATGTTTTCAAAATATGGTACCTTTATTATTACTATTGTTAAAACATTAATTTGTATTGCGCGACACATAAAAAAACGGTTTTTTGTTAATAAAAAGAAAACTATAGCTCGGATCAAAAAAAGTCATATATAAAAGTTGTAGATAATAAAAAGATATAAAATTTTTATTTTAACTATTTTTTGATATAACCTCACTTTTCAAATAAATTGAAAAATTTCAATTTATTTGAAAAGTAAGGTTATGTCAAAAAATAAATAATAAAAGAATTACCCATATCCAAGTTTTCACTATTGCAATATGACGGGAACATAGAGTGTGATGCTTACTTTCAACCTTAAGACATTAAATAGTTATTTGTTTTACAAGTGTTGAAAATCGACTTTTTCATGCGAGTTTTTAAGTTGCCCACGAGGCCGTTAGGCCGAGTGTGCATTAACACGAGCTTGAAGAAAGCTTTTCTCACAAGTATAACTGCGACCCTTTTATTTTTTATTATTCAAAACAAAACAAAATGACCTAAAAACTTTTTTGACAGCTGAATGTCAAATGATGCTGTCAATTTCTTTTCACACAGACCTGTCACTTTTCACACAGAAATGTCACTTTACATTCGTGTTTTGCCTTGCCAATGAAAAGATTCATTTTCTAAGCAACGATGCCATCATGAAAAGTGACTTTTACATAGTGGTCGTAGAAAAAATATTTTTATATTTAATTGAACAATTTTATTTTTTTTTTATTTATGAATATAGTTCATAAATTATATTTTGCTTTTTTAACAGAAAGACGACAAATCTCTCCTGGCGCAATTCTTTTACGCCGACGAGGAGCTGAACATCGTTGCCAACGAGCTGGACAGCTTCGATGGGCGCAAGGACCCCGAAAGGTGCACCACGTTGGTGAACCAGCTGCGGCAGTCGCAGGATAAGGTCCTGACCATCACCAACGCCATCATGGACGTGCTGATACGGGACGAGCGGGCCAACAGGGATTTCAGAGTGAAATTTCCCGAGGACGTTTTGCAGGAGAATCTGGCCGGTCAGCTGTGGTTCGGAGCCGAGGTAAATGGTCTTTAGTCTTTTAGTCGATTTTTGTGGGTGTCCGGAAATGCCTCCTGGGGTGCTATAGGCATTTTAAACTGGTTCCCAAAATTAGGTTTTTATTAATTATTATATATAATATATATAGCAACTTTTTCTTTTATTTTTACGTGAAGAATCACACCCCAAAATATATTATTTATATATTATTTTCGAACACCCTGTACAGTAGGGTGGCGCAAAAAACCCGATTATTTTTTTTGAGTCTCCAAATTTTTTTAAATTTCAAAAATCTTCAAAAATCGATTTTTTTTTAATTTTTTTTCTCGGTACGGTATAATTTTACAGACATAAAAAAAATAAGTTTCTGAAAGTATCAGATCAAAATTTAAATTTTGAAAGGTCGCTCATAATTTTTTTTAATTTATCAGTGCATTACTTTAGATTTTTTTTCCCAGTCAGGTTCAAGCGCTTGAGAAGGCGCGACGCGTGTGGGAAGGCTCTTAAAACGTAAAAGTTTAAAGATTGAAACCAACAATAATTTTTAAAAAGTGCAAACTAATAAAGTGAAACAAACAATTTCATAGAGTGCAAGCTAGAGTGGTGTAGCGGTCATTGAGGAGTGAAGTATTAAGTGATATGAATGAGTTAAGTGCCACCTGTCATTGGACGCTTTTCACTGGACAGACAAGAGGGGAGGTGGCCATCCGCAAAAAAAATAATTGATAAGTTACCTTAAGAATATGCATGACCTAATACAAAATCTGCAATTTAAATACGGCAGATATCTTTAAAACATATGAAAGGCACACGGAGTAGGGCAATAAATCTGTCAACAACAAGTGCGTAATGCAATCCCAAACGAAACCGAAAATAAACACTAGACTCACAGAATAAACTAACATTAATCATAATAACCCTAACACAGTAAGCCTAATACTTAATCAAACTCTACTAGATTTGTAATTATTAGATAACAGAATAATTGCGCTTGTCATTTGTTTAACTAATAAATAAATGCAATACTTAATTTTGGAATTTAAGAAAAAAAGACAAAACTCTACCACAAAACGTGCTTGGGACAAATTTATTAAAAACAACTGACACACTTTACCAAGTGCAGGAACTATCTGACCAGGACACGGACAATGACAATAACGAAAAAGACCACTGAGCGTATAGCATAGGCTCGGCGAACCCGAGAATGGCTATTAAAACTATTCGCATCTCGCTCTCAAGCCCCAAATAGGGGACAGTACGGAACGCAATGGACATCCGCACCCAGCAAACACGGGTGAAGCCGTGCAGTTGCTGGGGAAGAACAAAAATCGGCGTAAGTAAACATAGGCCTGTACGGGGTTCGAGAGTCAAGAGGAAATGGGGCTGGTTGTACGTCTCTTATACTCATACTCATACTCATTACTTTAGATTTTTTCGAGCGACCTTTTAATATTCAAATTAAAATTCCATTTTTTTTTATTTAGTACAATAATCGATAAAAATACACCACGAGATGAATTAAAAATCAAGCACAATATAGAAAACATAATTTTTTTTCAATTTAATAATTTTCTTTAATCAACTACAACATTTTGACGATTTTTGAAATTTAAAAAAATTTGGAGCGACCTCTAAAAAATTATTTTTTTGAGCTGTCCTCTTAAAACATCAAAAACTAAAATTTTTTCACTCGAGACTCAAAAAAAAATAGACTGTTTTTTTGCGCCACCCTACTGTACAGTATAGCGTTTTGGTCTAAGTAATATGTGGTACCTTTTTTTAAAAACCTATGCGACATGTATAACTATCACCCGGATATAACGAACCATTTAAGTAGGTATTCCCTTTATTGTAATTTGTTGTATAAATATTAGACTGGGACAAAAAAATCAACTATTTTTTTTTTGAAAACTATATCGAAAATATAGTGACAAAAAAAATTATTGTGAAAGTTTGAGTCCATAATATTAATATTAAGGGGTCTATCATCGCCATTTTAATTTTTTTTCCTCAGCAAGTTTTTGTATCAGAACCCCCAAACCATTGAATTAACAAAATTGACTTGAAAATATTTTTTTAAGAAAATTAAATGCTCTACAAAAAAGGTTAAAGTGAAATTTTCCGTCAGATGAACCTTCCTTAAAATCATGACTTAGAAACTTTTGTAGTTTTACATTTTGATCTTTTAAATTGGAATTTTGTAATTCATGTAAAAATCCGTACCCATAAAAAACCGATAAATGGACGCCTTTCTGCAGAAAGGAACCAACCCACAAAACCAAAAAAATCGAGATATTAAATAAATTTTAGCCTATGAACTAATTAAGTATGTATAATTTATCTGCAAAATAGGTCATAGCCAAAATGCAAGTGTAGTGAAATCTATTAATCATTGAACCAACCAACATTTAATAATAGTGTGGATTACTAATCCAGAATTAGAATCTGTAGAATATCTGCAAGTGGGTTGGATCTTTTTTGTAAAAAAGCAGGCTGGTAGACCCACTACCAAAGTCTTTAAAGATTTCCTGCTTCTGCAAAATATAAAGTCTTGATGCATTTTTTTGGTAGCTTACAAGATGAGGTGGGGTTGGAAGATGATGTGGACGAATTTCAAATAGAATCAAAATTAATTCATATTACCATTATAATAGTAATATCAGTTGTATTTTGTTTGGAAATAAATAATTGTCGCTTTTTTTTAAATACATACATACATCAGATAGTAGTTTTCATAAATTGCAGAAAGGAACCAACCAACTAAAGACCATTTTTTCGTCACCCTTACACACAAAATCCACCTGATGAAATTATTAAATTATATCCCTTAAACCTCCGTAAGTCCAAAATCGGCATAAAATTAACAGGTAATTTTAAAATTATTAAAATCTTTGATAGCTTTTTTCTCAGTTTCATCATGGTGTGGGTTGGTCCCATTCTGCAGAAAGCCGTCCAAATATTCTTATGGGAAATTAAATGCTTTACAAAAAATGCCTCTCAACATTTTTGGCTAAATTTACTCAATCAAAAGTTATTCAAGGTTAAAATTTAGTTTTGACAAATTTAACCTTGAATAACTTTTGATGGAGTGAATTTAGCCAAAAATGATAAAAGACTTTTTTGTAGAGCATTTGATTTCCCATAAGAATATTTATCGGTTTTTTTTCCGGGTACTGATTTTTACATGAATTACAAAATTCCAAAGTTAAAAGATTAAATTGTAAAACTATACCAATTTTTAAGGCATGATTTTAAGGAAACGGTTTATCTGACGGAAAATTTCATTTCTTTTTTGTGTAGCATTTAATTTTCTTAAAAAAATATATCTGAGTCAATTTTTTTAACCTCAATAGTTTGGGAGACAAAAACTTGCTGAGGAAAAAAAAATTAAAATTGCGATGATAGACCTCTTAATATTAATATTATGGACTCAAACTTTCACAATATTTTTTTTGTCACCCCAAACCATATTTTCGATATACTTAAAAAAAAAATAGTCGATTTTTTTGGCCCATTCTGACAAATATACAGGGCGAGTCATTTAACTTGAAACTTTGAAATAGCTCAGTTAGTGTGCATTACGAAAAAATGTTTAAAATAAAAATTAAACGATTCGAGGGGGAAAATCAATCAGTACTAAAATTGGTCCTCATACTCTCCTCCTTATAGGGGGAACAGGGGGTAACTTTAAAATTTCCAATGGAACACCCTATTTTTTATTGCAGATTCGGATCATTCGACTAAAAATAGGTAGATTTTGTCTAAAACATTTTTTCATATTTGTAATAGATAGCGCTGTATTAAAAAAAATCAATTTTGTTCAATTTTTCTTCTTTTACGATTCTGCAATAATTTTCTATAAAAATATTTTTTTTTTGTTAATAATTATCTTATTAAATTAAATCTGATTTTTTAAGTACCCACGATTTTTTAACTAATATTTAAGTTTCCTTTGGTTTAAGTTTAATACATTATTTCATAGACCAGTGCAGAAGCCTTTAAAAATGGTAAAAAGAGAAAAAAAATAACAGTAGGATGAAACCCATTGGAAAAGGAGGGGAATATAATAAAAATTAAAGGAAAAATAAATTACGGGCGATCTGAGTTCGGCAAGTGGGAGGGGGGGGGTTTAAGGGTAAAAAATGGTTTATCTCGATTTCCGGCAAAACTACAAGTCCTATGGAAAAAAGTTAAATGTCAAAGTTGTAGGTAATAAAAAGATCTACAACTTTTGTATTTACAATTTTTTCACATAACCTCAAAATTTATGTGAAAAATTCAAAAAACCAAGTTTTTGGTTTTTTATTTTTATCTTTTTCAAAAAAAATTTTTTTTCCACGAAATTTGGTGAAAACTTACCTTTTTATGTCCCAAATACACTGTAATTTATTTGATTTGAAATATTTATTATTTCGCCTTATTTTGACTTAATATCAAAAAAGCACCCTAATTTTCAATCGAAAATTCTCGCGTCAAAATATCAGCTTTTTTCAAAAAGTCGGTGTGCTTTTTGTTCGAGGAACTCTCTACTTTCTGATGGTGTAAAAAAATATATACATTACTATGGTAAATGTTCTTAGAAAATACAAAAAATATTATAATGAATAACGTAATCAGAATGAAGTATCTAAATTCAATAGTATGATTTACATGTATTTTTATATTTTATGAGATTTTCTGACATAAATGTTATTAGAATTTAATAAATAAACTTTTTAAATAAAAAAAATTGCAACAATCACATTTTTTTGATGAAATTGTACATAATGATTAAAATAAATTTTCGAATTCGAGTTTTTTTCGTTATTCATTATAATATTTTTTGCATTTTCTGAGAACATTTACCATAGTAATGTATATTTTTTTTACACCATCAGAAAGTAGAGAGTTCATCGAACAAAAAGCACACCGACTTTTTGAAAAAAGCTGATATTTTGACGCGAGAATTTTCGATTGAAAATTAGGGTGCTTTTTTGATATTAAGTCAAAATAAGGCGAAATAATAAATATTTCAAATCAAA